AGATGTGTATAAGAATATACATATATACATGTACAGGGGTTTAGCCAGAAAAACGAAATAGGTCGTCCAAAATGGAAGCCAGTGGGCGTGGCACTGAGCCGATGGGCAGGCCACGCCCATCTTTGGGAAGCCCTACCGAATATTGGTACGATGTACATTCAATCAATAAATGTTGTTTTTATCAAACATAAATATGATTTAGCTTTAGTTTAATGTAAAATTTGATAGATTTGAAGAATATAAAGAATTTGCTAAAGGTAGACTAGGCCCAATTAGGCCAGGCCAAGCTGATTAGGACAAGCCGTCACGGTAAAAGTGGCCGACCTAAATAACTGTAGGCCGTCCAAAAGACGGCCAGACGGCTCGCTGGCTAAGCATATGTGTATGTATGTATGTATTATGTATGTATATATATATAATATATATATTTATATATGTATATATGGATATATATACATACATACATACATACATATATATATATATATATATACATATAAGCATATACATAGTTTGTATATAGGCCTATGGAGATATATATAATAAATATATACATACATACATATATGTATATATAATAAATATAAACATATATATAGTTTGTATATAGGCCTATGGATATATATATATATGTATATATATATATATATATATATCCATAGGCCTATATACAAACTATATATATGTTTATATTTATTATATATACATATATGTATGTATGTATATATTTATTATATATATCTCCATAGGCCTATATACAAACTATGTATATGCTTATATGTATATATATATATATATATATATATATATGTATGTATGTATGTATATATATCCATAGGCATATATGCAAACTATGTATATATAAATATACATAAAATATGTACATACACCTCTAATATCCTAATATGTATACTCAATACATTTAGAAACAGTATATCATTTTAATTTTGCCTACGTATTTATGTTTCTATTATTTTTTAGGGCAAATTATTGATTAAATTAAAATGCTTATTCTCTCCCCATAAGCTTTTGATTGCCCTGAAGATCGTGTCTACAACCCATGCGGCAGCATTTGTCCAGTGACATGCGCGCTGGTTGAGTTTGATGACTGCCCTGGAGCATGCGTAGAAACGTGCGAGTGTCCAAGTGGAACTGTCCTTAGTGGAGAGCACTGCGTCCAACTATCGCAGTGTGGATGCTTTGTTGATGGAATATATTATCAGGTACGGAGTATATTATCAAGTATGCAAAAGTCCTACTACTTGAAATATATTAATTCTTAAGTATTGAATAACAAGGATAGAGTTTTGTTTGAAGGTTTGCATGGCAAACATATATGTTTAAGCTTGCGATACACCACGTTGTAGTTGAGAAAGTGTCGACGTTTTGATTGAGTTGCTTCAATCGTTTTCAGGAGAATATCTCCTAAAGACAATTGAAGCAACTCAATCGAAACGTAACTGAAGACTTTCTCAACTACAACAGTTCTTCTCAGAACTAACTATGTGGTGTACCGCAAGCTTATACATATAAATGATAGAGTTACGATAAGATATGCGCTTAAAAAAATATAAAAAAACAGTAATGTACAGTCATAATATATTTATAGGCCTGTACAATAGATCATTATTTTTAATTGTACCAACACATTTTCAAATACTTTAAAAGTGTTTGATTTCAATGTGCCTATTTTATTTTTTCTCTGTCCTTAATACTGCATATTTATTTAATTTTATGTTACATTCCATTCTATAGTAGTTCCTCACTTTCAAATTGTAATAAATATAAGTGAATAAATAAATCTACTTATATAGCCTGGCGATGAATGGGTGGAAAGTGGCTGCTCTTCAGCTTGTGTGTGTGAAGACGGTCAGGTATCCTGCTTACCATTAACATGCGGTGAGTTTGCTGAATGTCAGATCAAGAATAATGTTAGAGGCTGTTACTGTATTGATGGTTTCCAAAGAGACGGCCACAATTGCACGCGAGGTAATTATCTTAGTATTATTTCGTGAATATAATATTTCTTAAATCATTTTATATTTAGATATTATATAATTTTTTAATAAATCCTCTTATGATAATGTTGTATACTAGAGTGCACTTAATGATCTACTTAATGAGTTTTATGTTTTGAAAATTATTGTTTTTTGTTATATATTATTTTTATTATTATATGTATTATTGTTATTGTTATTATTATTAGCCTATTATTATTATTATTATCATTATTATTATTATTATTATTATTATTATTATTATTATTTTGTGTTATCATGTTTTATTATTATCAGTTCGAACAAAATTAATGTATTGCCGGGCACTTGAGGTTGGTCTGTCTGGATTTTTTTTTAAATTAGCCCTCGAGTCTATAGGCCATCACTCACTGAATGTATTGTGGCTGTGCTAAAGGCTACATTTTCAGGTCAAATTATCAAAGCATATATTATTTCCTTAACGGCCTAATGTTTTAACTCAATTTTCAGCGCCGGCATTCTGTCGTGTCTGGGGTGATCCCCACTATATAACATACGATGGGCTGAAATATGATTTCCAGGGCGTTTGTGATTATACACTGACCAGAGATTGCAGTAGTGACTACAACAATCACTTTAGCATCACTGTCACTAATTTCAAGAGAAATCCCGATGACACTGTTGCATTCACCCGGATGCTGACGATATTACTTGGGGAAAGGGTAAGTAATTTACGTAGTATTTAGAACTTTTAAATAAGAGCAGCTTAATTAACATTTGAAGGGGTTCAAGGCGCTGATTCGCAGAGCAAAAGTGAAGCTGATTATGTCATATCGTTTACACATCTCTCGACGTACGCGGCGCTAATTTATTTCCAATAATGACAATTTACTTAAGTGTTGTTTATCTCCCGTCGACGTACGTAAGGCGGGGATAAACAAACTTTTGTTAGTATAGTATACATGCAATTTGGTGATACAGTTTTTATTTGTGTGGAGAGTTCTATCTTGCGTTTCTAGTATCTTTGTTCCAACTTTTACAAACTGCGATTTTCATCGCCCTCTGTAGAGTATTTGTAACTGTGTTTGCAATTCAATGCAGCATAGTCTAAAACGTTCAATACCACGATATCTTTCTAGCTACTTATTTGCACATATGGAGTGACACACTTAAGTAAAGTGACTTGCCCAACTATTGCACAGTTGCATGTTTTGTAAAATGAATTGAAGTACAATAATAACGAAATATTGCTTTTCTAACAGATAATCGAATTGAGAGGAGGGGATGTAGTGTTTGTAGATGGAGTTCGAGTAAATCTGCCAACAATCTTATCACCTGATGCATTTATGCGCTACGAAGGAGCATTCACTGTAAGTAATTGATATTATATAACACATTATTCTACATACTATTTCTAGAAGGCGTTTAATTTTTTGCATTTGGGAGCTTTCGATTTTTGTGCGACGAAAGTGAACGCAGAACGTATTAATTTATCTGAGACCAGTTCCCTGTGTTTTTATTGTAGCTTCAGGCCAAACTGCATCGTCTTCATGCAATCAAAAGAAAGCTCCCTATTAATTATTGTATTTTAAATACATCATGATCTTTGTAATTAGTGGTAGGCCTATATATAAAGCCTTTGATATCAGTGTAATATTGGGAGTTGTTTCAGTATCATTGTATTTTCGGTGTAGGCATCTTGTGAATATTTTACCTTGGTTAACTAACTATACAATACTTTCAGCTGAACTTTATTAAAATAATAATCGATCTACATGACGACTGATTTCTCTCTACTTTCCAATTTTGTTTTTAATTTATTGAATTACGCTGTACCTAAAATTGGATTGGATTTATTCGGTGTAAACATCAAGTTAAACGACAGAAGTCCAAAGAAGACTTATTCCAGTAGAGTCCTTTTGGTTGTGATTGGACAATACACCAGGAGATAATCCTCTACTCTTTTTTGAAGTGTTCTGCATTCTTTAGCATGTACATGGGCCATTTTTCACCAACTGAAATGTCTCATCCGAAAGATGGTGTGCTACTGAAACTTGCATTTCAGGCCTCGCTGAAACACAAGGAGAGAAGTGATGGGAATTGGACAGGAGACCTATAGATATCAACTGTTCAGCGAGCACACAGTGGCTACCACCAAATAATAATAATAATAATAATAATAATAATAATAATATTAATAATAATGTTTTCCGTTTGGACCTATATTTCTAATTTTAATAATTTTGCATTCTGTTGCTGACTAGACCTATATATTGTTCCACAAATTGTAGCGATATGATCAATCAAATCGGAAGAACTATCGCAGCAAACAGCAAAGAAAAGAAATCAGAACACGCCAACTTGTATGAGCATCTAGCAGCTTATTATTTTCAGAATATTCCTAATTTTGGAAGGGGACACCCCCTCCCAAACCCTTGCACCCCACCCCCCTTCGCACCTGCGGCGTTCTGATTGTGCTACGTGCCAACGTACACCTCTTGCCCTGGCCCTTTCAATTAATTCAATGAACAATGTTGGCTCCTAGACTATTTAATAGACTTATTTATATCGGTATAAATAGATATGGACTTGTTCCTAGACCGTAACTCATGTCGTTATCAATGTAAATTTGTTATTAAACAGGTACTCCGGTCAAGTCCCGGGCTGGTGGTTCGTTGGGATGGTACGCACTCAGCTAGGGTCACGGTACCACCGACTCTATTCAATCAAACATGTGGTCTGTGTGGTAACTTTGATGGCAATGCTGATAATGAGTTTATATTACCGGATGGAACTGAAGTAAGATCATTACTATATAATCCATGTATTACGTGAAAATCTAGTAATAATATGTTTTAATTAAAGACGTAGTTTGAGGATTTCCTACATGCAATACATCCACAGTATTTTTTACTATGAATTTATTTTTAACTAGGTGGATGTCGTTCAAAGTTATTTTGTTCATTTACAGACCACGACCTCCACGTCCATCTGCCTATGTCTATATGATTTTGCCATTAAAATAATGAAACAAAAAATATATTATAATTATTCTTACGATTAAAGCTTGATATTAAGACTGCCCAAATTATATTTAAGATTTAAAATAATTTGCTTTGTCATGGCAGAATTTAAAACTTATTTAAAATATACAATTTACAGTATAAAAATGTTACATAAAGTAAAAGTACTTCAGTATGATTTGTCTCATCTATATATTTCGGTTTCTTTATATGTAAAAACAAAATATATAAGATGAGATATCCTAAGCAGCCAATACGAGTCACTTGCTTTTTGTAACGATAATGAAATAAAAGAATATCTCTATCCTTGAAATATCTGGAAGACCTTTCTGTTTGATAGTATAATGGACATCTTTGCTTAAGTCCTGCTTCTTGGATACTGTTCCTAAGACTCCACAGAACGACTGCTTAAAGGCTATGTAAAATTTTGTGTTGAAACATTAGTGTTGAAACATTATCTTTTGAGCCTGACAGACAAATTTTGGTAGTGCACGCCTGGCTTTTGTTTATGTTGCAGGTTGAAAATGTTGACGAGTTTGGAGATAGTTGGTTTGTGGATGGAACCTGTGAAGGTGGTACAGAATCTCCAAATCCATGCCAGGATTATGAAAATGTCACACAAGCTGAGAACATATGTAAGGTCATTCTTAACAGGGCAGGTAAGTTATACTGTGGCTTAACATGGAATTAAGGGTGTAGGGCATACATTTATAAACATCTAAAGCATTTCTAACCTTCTCCATACTTCTAAAGTACAGTACACCCAACTGTTATAATACATATCTTAAACAGTTTTGTATATAAAATGCACAAGTTACGACAAAAACCAAAAGGTCCATTGATTAATCTCAGATAAGATAGTATAATACATACTCCAAGTATCGAAATGCACGCCATCGTGTCAGGATTCAATATTTCGACATCAAAAATGTCATCTTTCGATACTTGGATTATGTATTACCTTACGACAAAAAGTATGCGGATTTTATACTGTTTAATTTAATCACCAAACATGTGCTTATTCATGCTGTCATAATGTGTATAATATATTACATATGTTATGTTAAACGTCTTATTTTTAAGAGTATACAGTATATTGTTTGATGAAATTGACGTTTGTTTATATTTATGTATTAATAGGACCATTTGGCGAATGTTTTGAGTATGTAACACCCATGCCATTCTACGAATCATGTGTGTACGACGCATGCGCCACCTTACCAGATCAGGGAGTGATTTGTGACGACATCAATGATTATGCAGAGGCCTGCCGCGACGCAGGTGGTCAACCTGAGCCATGGCGGCATGATGGATTCTGTCGTAAGTGAGATAGGTTTTTGTTTTAAATAATTATCAAATTACATTCTTTAGCATTTTTATCGTGACAAAAGGTATTTCATTTTTTTTAATTTTATTACATGTTTTTTTTTTCGTTAGCGTTTGATTGTCCAGCAGGCTCGACCTACAGCATCTGTACATCACCATGTGCAGCGACTTGCGCCGATTACCAAAATACTGATGGATGCGACGGTACATGTGTAGAAGCGTGCGAGTGCAATGATGGGTTCGTTAAAGAAAACAACGAATGTGTGCCGATTGACACTTGTGGATGCTGGAGTGAAGACGGAGAATACTACAAGGTGATGTAGGGTTACTTATTCCATAAGCAAGTATTAACGAAGGATTATACTACTTCTTGTAAACATTCAAATTGGCAAATACCGTAAACGCTCGAATAAGCGCCACTTTTGAATAAACAACGCTCTCGAATAAGCACCGCACCAATCGTGATTTTTTTCCGTTAATCGCCGCTCTCGAATAAGCACCGCTACACTTAATCGAGTATAATTATATTACTGTGTGTAGAAACACTTTGAGAAACAGGGCTTTACATACAATGACACAGTGTTAAAATGAACAAATAAGACAAGCATTTCTTTATAAGCGTTTATTTATTATGATAAGACCTATGATAGACTATGGGAACATGTGAAATAGGTAACATGGGAACGGGCATGGAAAGTGCCTCGCCAATTTGTTTATATAAGCGCCGCACTAAAGCCTCTAAAAATTGCTTCGAGCATTTACGGTATTGTATTTTAATTTATTTGTTTGATATTTTTTTCTGCAGGCTAATGAAACACGAATTGCTTATAATTGCTCTAACGAATGTTCGTGCAATCCTCATGAGTCTCTTGACATTAGCTGTGTCATTCTGACTTGTGACGTCAATGCCGTTTGTGATATAATAGATGGTGTGCGTAACTGCTATTGCACTAATGGTTACCAAGGAGATGGTAGAACATGTGATGAAGGTAGGCATGCAAAATCCGCATTACAAATTTGCATTTCTATATCAGATTTGACGAAGCGTTCGCTTTGTTACGTACGCCCATGATTTTTTCTCTTTATTTTCTCATATTATTTTCTCATATATTTATTTAAATTTAAAAAAAAAAACATTCTATGAAAAGTGCTTTTTAGTTTTTTCTGAAATGCCACATTTTTGCGAGTTGTAATTATTTAATATACTGTAATTAATACTTGCATTATAGCAGCAGTAGCATCCAAATTTTTAAAAATTGTATTATATTTTAGATTGAATGATGTTGTTTTGTTGTGTTTTGCATTTCATTTTACTGAGCTTGATTTTTTGAAGAAAATGTATATGAGCTACCTAGACTTTATGTAACGAACGTAGCAGTTATTAAACGTTTACATTTTGAAATGCTCAATGCATAATTTTAGTGTTAACAACAGCACAGTCCACAACAATTGGAGATTCGACGACTATCGAAGATTTTACAACTATAGGAGCAATCGAAACTACATTTATATCAACAACTCTCGAAGATTTTACAACTTGGGCTCCAGTTGAAACAACTTTTAAATCAACAACTATTGATGAATCGACAACTTACGTACCAGTTGAAACAACATTTATATCGACAACTACTGATGAATCGACAACTATTAATGAACCGACAACCGACGGATCAGTCGAAACAACATTTGTATCGACAACTATTGATGAATCTGCAACTTACGTACCAGTTGAAACAACATTTTTATCGACAACTATTGATGAATCGACAACTATTAATGGACCGACGACCGACGTACCAGTTGAAACAGTATTTGTATCAACAACTATTGATGACCCGACAAGTTACTCAACAGTTGAAACAACATTTTTATCAACACTTATTGATGAATCGGCTACTATTAAAGAATCGACAACCGACGTACCAGTCGAAACAACATTTTCATCAACAATTATTGATGAACCAACAACTATTGATGAACCGACAAGTTATGCACCAGTTGAAACAACATTTTCATCAACAACACTTATTGATGAATCGACAGCTATTAGACAATCGACAAGTGACGTACCAGTTGAAACAACATTTTTATCGACAATTATTGATGAATCGACACCAGAGGATTCCACTACTCAAGTAGATTCTAGGCCTACTACCGCTGTAAAATTTGGGCCTACTACCCATGTGTATTATACAACATATGATTCTTCAACACATCTGGATTATACTACTTCAATAGATTCTATTACACAGGTGGACATTATGACGGATTACGCGTCGGGTAAGTCCCCTACAGCTGATATTGACAGTACAGATATTTCGATCCGGTCTTGTGCTAATGCAGATGATTATCGAGATAACCCCTCGTGAAAATTAACTACATTCTTGAACGCTTTATACTCAATATATTTGATTTAGCATGGTGTTGGACAATAATTCCAGAATATATATGTTAACATGTAATACTGCTGCTGCTACTAATATTAGTAAAAACGAATAATTCACTGTATATAAGGAATTATTTGGTGCATTGTTATATGCTATTATTAGCCTCGCCATACATCCTAATGATTAACATTGTGTTCTACTTACAACTTAACAATAACAGTACTTCGCATTTAATTCAAATAGTATTTATTTTAATCATCGTGCTTATTTCTTATGTCATGGAGATGCTTATTATTTATGTGTACTCTATGTTTTTACATTGCTTTTACAATTGACGTATTGCATCAATCTGGTGATAGGGGTCGCTAAAGTGTATATTGTTATCATTGTGAGTTGTTTATCTTTTTGAGTTCTCTAAGCTTTTCTTAACAACGTTTACTATTTTTGTAAATACCTTCTTTTTTGGCGAATGTACGTATATATTTATTAATTTGTATAAAACTATATTATCAATAATATCTGGTGATAAGGGTCGCTAAAGTGTATATTATTATCATTGTTGGTTGTTTATCTTTTTGAAGTTCTCTAAGCTTTTCTTTACTTTACTATTTTTGTAAATACCTTCTTTTTTAGCGAAAGTAAAATAATAATAATAATAATAATAATAATAATAATAATAATAATAATAATAATAATAATAATAATAAAGTCTTATATAGCGCATAATAAAAGAAAGTTGCCCCTATGCGCTTTACATAAAAAAAAGAAACATAACCATGAAATATCCTAATACTACAAAGAAAACTAAAATAACGAAAAACGGCATGAATGGCAGAAGAATCATTTCCACTGCTCCGTTATCCAGCACTTTGAAGCCCCTAAAGTTAGGGGCTCGCTGGAATAGTTTTCACAGGAGGTCTAGTGAAAATGATGTCTAGCTAGCCTATCCTACAATTTAATAAATAAATAAGGTAGATGTGAGAGCAAGATTGCTGAGTGGCTAAACATCTGAAACAAGCGGCGAAAATTAATACAGTATATATTTATTAACTTATATAAAACTATATTATCAATAATATTAGGTAGTTTTCGCCGCACGACGTTAACCTTAACGTTAACGGATGACGTCATAATTTATTCATCTTGCGTTGCGGAGTACGTTAATTTCAGGATTTTACGTGCTCGACGTACGTTATTTACAGGTTTACGCATGCGTATTTTGATTTGTTTACAAAAGGGGCGGGGTTATCGCATTGCATGTTGGGTACTAACGTTAAAGTTAAGGTTAACGTCGTGCGACGAAAACTACCTATGTGTGTGTACGTGTTTGTTACATTCTGTATTTCTACAATAGATATAATTTAAAAGGAATGTTTTTATGTGGATTTTGCTTGGGTCATTAGGCAAGGCATTTTACTTTTATTGTCTCTGCCCAGGAGTATAAATAGTAGTGTGGTTTGTCATTTGTGCGCAATGCAGCACAACTCATCATCATCATTTTATTATTACTGTGGGGATGTGGACAAATCTTTTTTCTCTTTTTCCTCATTTATTATTAAAACTATTGTTTTACTGTGTATAATATGAAGAGATTTATATTGCATATGCAGATCACTAATAACATTTTCCTAATTCCTATTTCTAAACCGACAGATTCCACAACTCAACAGCCAACAACGAGAGACCAACCCACCACAGGTAAAATTACCATCTTGGTTGAGCTAAGATGTTTCTCTGGTATAATTATGAAAGTGATGTTAAAACATATCACGTGATATTATTAATAATAATAATAATAATAAAAATGTAATTATTATTATTATTATTATTATTATTATTATTATCTTCGTAATTATATTTTCTGGAATAGATTATTTTTAAATCTTTGCTTCATTTATTACAATCCCAGAGAACAGCGTCCACTATAACAATACTGTATTATTACCGCTTCAAGATCATAGAAAATGAATGTATACAATTGAAAAAGAATTGACGACTACAGAACAAGACTCCGATGTAGATCTATTGTAATTGACTATTGACTAAAAACTCCTCTGTGGTCGAGTCCATATTACACCTCAGGCTATTGTAGGTCTACCACATGATTCCTGTGAGGTAATTCTACAGTATGTCAAAAATCCAATACATTTTTTCATTAGATTTCATTTGAAAGGCTGTTTTTTTAATACCGGTATGAATTGCCTAGCTTGTGTTAAAAAAAGTTTTTGGTATGTTAAAATCATTCTAAAACATCGTATTATGGAGACGAATAGACGTTTTCTTTTATAACAAATTTTGCATGTAATTTTCTGTTTATTTAGATATTGATTACATTTTAATTATGTTTTTAAATAGGCCTAAATGATCAATACGTACGAGTGATTCTAAGATGACAAGAATAACATAAACTCAGTTGATATGAATAAATCATGGTCGTTACTCTGAAGTTCATTATAACAAAAAACGTCCTATCTATTCATAACATAAGCATATAACGCGAGACTTTTTTATACCGTGTTGAGCTCGCCGCCCGCCAATAATGATGGTTTCGAATCGAAAAATAAAATTTTATTTTTGGCCAATTAGCGCACCCACCGTCAAGAAAAAAATGGAAAATTTCAGGGGGAAAAAAGTGTTTGCTTATTCTTATTAGGCCTGCCGTTGCCCTGAAATCTCAAAAAATAAGATATGTATATTTCTACCATTTAACCATCCCATTACTACACTGTTTACATTTACCAATAAAATGTTGTTTTTATTTTCTCCTCCGTCTGGATGTTTTTGGCAAAACTATTTGGCTATTTGAAATAAGAAAACAAAATGTTAATAACCCATAAGGCGTACGTACGATTTAATAAGGTGTACGTACGCCTTAATAAGGCGTATGTACGGGTTAGGAAAATAAAATAAAAATTCATCATGTCCCTTAAACAGCTTCGTATTTCTACTTTTTGCGAAGCGAAAAAATGCGCAACCAATCAGCGATCAGGAAGCGAACCGACGCTTTCGATTCGCGCGATTAAATTCGCCTAGTGGAAAACAGGCTTAATGGTATAAGCATGTTATACCACGATTGCATGCTGAAATTTCATTTGGAATAATCTGACTTTATAAGGTATCATGTTAAATACAGTATCATCTGACCTTCTGGGATAAGTTAGAATGAAACCACCAATATGTATGCTAGTATAATACATACTCCGGGTATCGAAATGCACGCAATCGTACCGGGATTAAATATTTCGACATTAATTATTCATCATCAGGAAATCTATATATATGTTTATGAAAGGGATAAAAATAACATTAGCATCGTCACCTCTACATTGTCGATTAAGTCTGCTTCGGTTTTCATCTGTGAGGTTAGTTGGCGTTCGTCATTCCATCTTAAGATGTAAGTAAGCAATCTTTGGCACCGCTACCAAGTGTGCTCAGAACCAGATTTTCACTGAAGTACACCTGGTGGCGATGTCTTAAATTGCCCGTCTTTCAACGTAGGTGGAGATGTTTGCAATGCTTCTGTTGTCATTGCTGGCAAATCTCCCTGGTAGTACATAGGATTGTTTTTTTTAAAGAATTCTCACCGACATCCACTTGTAGGAGGCGCTATTGCAGTTCCATCGTAGGTATACGTCGGTAAGAATGCCTTCAACAGCATAGGCCTACTGCTATATGTTCAGGATCAGTTTGTGTTAACTTCTTTGCTTGTTCATCAACCCATTCTGCGTTAACATTTTTTCGCGATAAAATCATTAATTACGAGAAAAAATCTCATCATCGAACGATGTGGACCATAAAATTATCTAGATAAACTTATTCAACCTTCCCTTATTTTTGGCGTATTGTGTTTTGTATGATCAGGCAAATTTGCTTTGGAATATAATTTGGTCTTACAATTCGTATGACGACGCTTTGTGATTGTATCCCAAACTGGTGGACGAATCAAGAGTGTTGTTTACTTTAGTTACACAAATAGAGTTGATTGAGTGTGGAACAATCCATCTTGGCGTACCTATTCATGCCATTTTATTCGTCAAACATTCCAAAAGATTCGTTTGTTCTGATTTAAGGTCAATTCGGGTAACGGTACAATCTGTTCTCATCTAGAATTCTTAAACCAGTGAGATACCAAAGGCATTTATTCATTATTGTCATTCGTAGCTCACTCCAAACTTAACCTTAAAATGATAAAAGAAAATATAAAAAACATAAGAGCGGACTCGGGAAAGGAGTGAGGAACTTTAAGTCACTCATAGGCCTACCTAGGGTTTGTTAGACGGGCCAGAGTACATTAACGATCATGAAACTTCGATGAAATCATTTTAATAAAATATGCTACACAGGAGGACCGCTTTAAAACTTAGATAATATTGTACTGGGTCGTCTGTAGCTTTTTCACTTTAGAGTAAATTTTTATGCCATTTCCTTGAGGTGTGTCTACGACAAGCAGTCTTAAAACTTGCACCTATGACTATCATAAAATGGAGTAAATTGTTATAGTGGTTTGTTGTAGTGAAAAGCTTTGTTGTTTTTTCATTCGTCTTTGTTATACACAGTACAAAAGTCAGTTGTGTTTAAGGTAATGAACCAATTCAAAGTCAGGCCATTGACGATGTAATGGAACCCACTGAGCGTGACTCCATTGACTTATTTTGTTTGTGTTGCAAATTATGAAGTCGGTACTTAGTGAAGCGTTCCCTTTTACTAAGGTATATTGTATACACATTTATGATATATGCACTAAACAAGTGCATGATCCATGAAAGTAAAGTATAGGCCTATGCACCTTTTAATCTGGTATTTAGGTAAGATTGTTTTCAATCCTATCTATTAATATTTATTTGTAATGTTTAAGGCCGGAATAGTATTGATTTCAGCAGATTCAGTTGAGGTAGTTAAGGCATGTTACGTTGCCATTGAAATGGTCATTATATCCAAAAAATATTGGTAATTGCGGATCTACTCAAAAAACTACATTTAGTAATTGAAAATTAAGTTGTTTTTTAAAATGTATGTTAGCAGGCCTAAGATATGAATTGCACAGTAAAAATGTTGACTGTAGGCCTATCAAAACTTTAAAAAGTTTGCCTATTTTTAATTAAAGCTTGAATTACGCTACCAATTACAAAATTAATTTAGAAAGTCTACAGCATGGGCCTAGTTAGTCAATTAACTTACGGAATCCGGTAGCGGGAACATGTCTCCGATGCCTTCTCGAATCTGCTCTAGTCTTGATAACTAAACATTTACGCAGTTACACTGCTATAAGGAGATGAATACAATAAATATGGGTGTGATTTACAAAAGCCTCTCCTTTACTATTGAAAATATCGGTCTCTTTTGTTAAGTTCCTGTTCTTGATTGGCTGTTAGAATGTAAACCAAATTTAGTACAATATCTGGGAGAATGGAAGGGTCCTGAGCGTCAATCCACTAAGGACACGTAACAGGGTCACGTTTGCTTCGATTGTCTACCTAAAGAATACCTATGATGATTCTCAACTGACTACATAATGAAGAATTTTATCTTTTGTGAAAAATGTGGCGTAGTGCGTTTACAACTGATATATCAGGCGTAGTAGCCACAGACCTATTAGTCAGTAAATACAAGTAAATCAGTGATTTACATTAGTTAATCCTGCATATTCATTAATTTAAATAAATTCATTTAAGTCACTATAAATAATAACTGAAGGGAACATCTTGTATTGCTAGATTGTGCACAATATGTATAGCCGTATTCTATTATTAAATGTCATTCTACACGAATGCATTGGAAACGTATATCTTGGTTTGATCGGGTCGAGTGGTCTTAACCAAATTTTGCTGTTCTTATTTAGCAAATTAGTATAGGTCTTATGTGTTAAATACTCAAAGTCACGATAAAAACTTCAAGGTTAATATTCATTGTGTAATATTCCTACTCAGACTTAGTACCATCATTTAATCAAATTACTGCAAAATATGTATTTACTGTATTAGGCCTGTGTTAAAGCCTGTTTTTTTTTTCTTAAAATCACTGCACTGTCGCTAAAGTGTTTTCAGTGCAATCGTTGTACTGCTGCAGTCTCCGACGCAATCGGGACCAATCAGCATCATCGAAATCTGTCGGCGATAGCATGTAGCGATTGTATGGAAACCAAGCTTAAGTCAGTAATCTCTTTAGCTATGGCTAAAAGAGGCCCAACTCCAATATCAAAAACATACTACACTATAATATTTATAGCGAGCAAATAAATCAAATACAGTGTAAAAAAAATTAAAAGCCTAAACCTGAGTTGTGGCACATAGGATTTTCCCGATGGGATTCGATGTCCCCGGCGGTGAGGCTCAAATCCCAGACGGGAAAGCCGATTTCCTCGCCTGTAGCATAAGTGGACGGGGCTAGATCAGCCCAGAGAAGTTACATAATTTTTTTCCTCTCCGACAAATTGTGTTTTGTCTACCTGACATCTTCCCCCACCCACACACACACACACACACAAACTCGCGCCACCACTGAAAGAAACAGGAAAGGATTAATCTATACAAATGGATATGGAAAAGAGAACTTTGTATCGGTATATTAATATTGTATTGAATGATAATATTAGAAGAGAAACAAGATGGCGGTTCCTTCAGTCTGTGTTTAAAGCCATAAACATTCCCTATTCATAACTACGTATAATACTTGTTCAAAAGCTTATTGAATATTACCGAATGAAGAAACATTTTGAAAGAATTTTGCGATGCGTTGTCGTCTCTGGTCTGCTTGCAGTCTTCAAACAAGTACTTTAGAATTTTATTAAAAGGAAAAAACGCCGAAGGCCATTATTGGCTTTCAGGACAAACCAGTTACGTGTATTGTACTATTTAATATCGAACTACTGGAGTGACATCAAACCGACTCATGTATAACTAGTTAGATGTGACTTGGAAGATTGCTTGATTGAATTTGCTTTTACAAAATGGAGGGTAAAATAAGTCTTGGTGTGAAAAAATGTAACTGTTGCTGAATTGTCTTGCTAGTATTGTACTACGCATTACCGTATTATTTTGAAAGTTTTTTGATATGCCTGCCCTACTGGATAATATTTTTATTTGGAAAAAAAAATTTGAAGGATTGGTTTCCTACCCTCCACAAAAGGGCTTCTCCTAAACCCCATCTATTTTCTCATTGGGTTTCTGACTTTCATGGGAACTATTCTTCGCTCTAAATGGAGATATCCTCTAATTTTTTTATGCATAAAACTTTTGAAAAAATAATAGTCCTAAACGCATAACTATAGTTTAACACATACTGTGTATCAGGTCCGTGACAAGGTGGTAGTGGTGGTGGTGAAAAGGGGGGGGGGGTTCAACTAGCCCCTTTTTTAACGAATCCCTTTTTTGATAAACAAAACCACCCCTCCCGTTGCATCAAGCCATCAAAATAATAGTTAAATCTACCTTTTACATGCTAGAATGCTTCACCTGCATGTGGGGTTATTTCCTGACCTCCGTAAGAGTTCTTCCTAGGAACCTTACTTAGTTTGACTCCCAAACAACCTCCACCCTGTTAAGAATTCAATGATATAGGCATGTGTATACCCTATTTTATTAGGTTTGAGGAGTGTTTTTTTTTAGGAGCAAGAAACACGAAGCATGATTTTTAGGCCCAGAGTATTAGCACTTTACTGTCTTCCTTGCTTGTGGTTTAACATTAACAATCTGCTGGGGCGGATGCACGCACCCGACCCCCTACCGTCAAATCCTGCATCCGCCCCAGATCAGGAAAATAGAATATCTAATGATTATTTCTTATACTTTCTTTCGTTTTCTAGCACCGCCAGTATGTCCACTGAACTCTACTTACAGCAGGTGTGGTTGTCAAACATATTGTCCATCTGAACTGATGTCATCGAATTGTACTGAGGAGACATGTGAGGGTGTATGTGTATGTGACGATGGGTTTGCACTGATAAACAATTCGTGCACACCATTAGAGGAATGTCCATGCGTGAAAAACGGGCAACTGTATGCCGTAAGTAATTTTGTTACTAAGTGTTCTATAATAGGGCCTATGCTAGTATAAGCAGAAAATAGCTTTAAAATGGGTTCTGAATTATTATTATTAGCAAACTGCTCTTCCATACTATGATATGTATGCTATACAAATAAATGTAAATGTTACCTCAACATTATATGATGTCAATATCTTGTTATTTATAAGTATTTTAGACGACATTTTATATTGTTATATTTTATTTTCTTGGTTTTTTTTAAAGATATGCCCGTTTCTCACTGTTACTGTTTTTATTATTATAATCATCATCATTTTTATTCACCACCACCATCAGTATCTTTATCATCTTTGTCATTGTGGTTATTGTGATTGTTATGGTTATTGTTATCGTTATTCTCCTCGCCAGTGATGCTGTTGTATTGTTTTTGATGCTGCTGTTGTTGCTGTTATTGCTGTTCATAGGCCTCTTTTATGAGATTATATAAATCATTAAAAAAAAACCTAATAAAATTATATAGAATAGAATTATATGCAAGTCCATAAACTTTGTTAAGCGGCAGTCGTTATGCTCAATGTACGTAACGGATTCTAGTCGAATTCATGCAATTTATCTGAATGTGCAGCTCTACAATGAGATGTATTTTTTGGTGGAAGGATATGTTTACGTATGCCAAAAATGAGTTAAGCGTGAATATAGCCTAGTCATATTATTCGTAATATAATGTAGGCCTAGTTATCTTTTCTATTGATGTCGGTAGAGAGTTATCTATAGAAAAAACCTACCTTAGTCCTAGATAACATTGATTTCCGTCCACACTGTTATTTTGAAGGAGTTATTTTAACTCCAAAGGAGTTATTCTGTACCTAAAAAAAGGTACAGAATAACTCTTTTCGAGTTAAAATAACTCCTTCAAAATAACAGTGCAGTCTGGATTCAACTAAATCGCGACAAAATGTTTGATGGGCTTAGCAGTGACGTAGACCTATCTAGGAGCTGTCTCTTATACACATCTAGATGTGTATAAGAGACAGATATAGGCATGTGTATACCCTATTTTATTAGGTTTGAGGAGTGTTTTTTTTTAGGAGCAAGAAACACGAAGCATGATTTTTAGGCCCAGAGTATTAGCACTTTACTGTCTTCCTTGCTTGTGGTTTAACATTAACAATCTGCTGGGGCGGATGCACGCACCCGACCCCCTACCGTCAAATCCTGCATCCGCCCCAGATCAGGAAAATAGAATATCTGATAATTAAAATTATACTTTCTTTCGTTTTCTAGCACCGCCAGTATGTCCACTGAACTCTACTTACAGCAGGTGTGGTTGCTGTCTCTTATACACATTGTTTTTGCTGCTGCTGTTGTTGCTGTTATTGCTGTTCATAGGCCTCTTTTATGAGATTATATAAATCATTAAAAAAAACCTAATAAAATTATATAGAATAGAATTATATGCAAGTCCATAAACTTTGTTAAGCGGCAGTCGTTATGCTCAATGTACGTAACGGATTCTAGTGGAATTCATGCAATTTATCTGAATGTGCAGCTCTACAATGAGATGTATTTTTTGGTGGAAGGATATGTTTGCGTATGCCAAAAATGAGTTAAGCGTGAATATAGCCTAGTCATATTATTCGTAATATAATGTAGACCTAGTTATCTTTTTCTATTGATGTCGGTAGAGAGTTATCCATAGAAAAAAACCTACCTTAGTCCTAGATAACATTGATTTCCGTCCAGTCCGGATTCAACTAAATCGCGACAAAATGTTTGATGGGCTTAGCAGTGACGTAGGCCTATCTAGGAGTCTTGAAATTTGGGGGCCTAATGGGGAGGGGGAGAAGGTGAAGAGGGGTTCGATGATTAGATGAGGGGCGCTAGCTCGCAAAATTAGGTGATTTTATACTACTTAAACCTGATTTTTTTTAGTAGGAGCGTATTTTTTGGGAGGGATACGCAACTAGATACGCAACTTGGGCTTAGGAACGTGGTACACAGTATTAACTGATGGAATAGTGCTAGCTCCCGACTTACCGTAGTCCATCATGCCAGTAACATGTATGTCCTATTTAAGTCCGTATTTCTCAAACCTTTGTGTTATTAAGATTTGGTGGCTAGCTTTTTTGAAGCATTCCATTTATGGATGGCCAAACCAGAGAATTCAAGAATACGATAAAATGAATGCATCCAATGCCTTTACCACAGTATTGGCTTTCCTTGAAGTAAGCCCTACAGCTAACCACCGGACCATGATTCCGTATAGCGTTTATACCGTCGGATACTATTGTTTATTTATTTTGTCTATTCCTTTAATTTGAAGACAATAAGTTTATTACCGTGAATCTGGCTTTCCTTTAAATTTACTCATAATATTCCTTTTCTCTATGCACATCATTAATTCTAAAGAAGGGAAGTTGTAAAGCCTGGAATTAAAAAGACTATCATGCGCGTGCACTTTCTATTATTCAATAAAAAAAACCACATAGGTTTTACTCATTATCGTATTTCCGATTATTGTAATTATACAATAAAATACACGATGACAAAGATAATTTATTTTCACGTCACACCGTTGTTTCACTCTTTTCACGTAAGGTGTATGTATATAGGAAATAGCTAAGACTATTATTTTTATGTTTGTTATTGTCGAGGTTAATATAGTAATAATAGGAATATAATCGTAGGTTGATATATAGCGCTTATAGACACACTTATATGTTCACCTTTCGTGGATTTAGACCAAATTTCGTGTATCTAATACCGTACCAAACTGAATGATACAGGTTGGTAATTTGCTGGTTCCACTCGGGTTTTATTATTTATATTATTATTTTACATTACATACATATCATTGTGACGTTAACACTAGGTGTACGTTTTCCTTATTTTCCTTTTTGTTTTAGCCTGATTCCAACTTCCTATCAGACGACTGCACCGAGAATTGTACATGTATTAATGGGGAGAGCCAATGCTCTACGCACGCATGTCATGGAAGTGCCGACTGTGAAAATGACGGCCAAGGTCAACGAATATGTGTGTGTGACCCTGGATACATAGGAGATGGTCAACTATGTACTCCAACATGTAAGAATATTTCATTCAATAATATAATAACATTTTATTCACAGTAAAGAGTTAAAATGTGGCCTGTGGAATATTGCCCACTTGAGCCTACCAGTGCCAACTAAAATATCTCAACCCCGCAAGCCTTTATAAAAAGACTTGATTAGAGAGTATGGATTTGTATATTGTGTTTGTATGGCTGTAACTATACCGTCTGTAAACAATTCGACACAAATCTATGTACCTGCTTATATTCCTTTTTTAGCTGTACTACCATCGATTTCACCCGGAAAAATAACCCTGACTAAATTTCACAGAAAAATAAGCCGACCAAATAAAGGCAAATTCTAACTTTTGTTCAATCAGCAAATAATAAGTTTTCCCAGGGTCTTTTAGTAGCAAATATTTATGGAAATCAGTTGGTGAAATGGGGGCACTGAAGCATCAACAAGAGGTGAGAAAAGTCAACATGCTTTTTTTGCTGTGATACATGACTGCCAACTGCAAACAAAACCCATTATAGCCTCTTCAGGAAAGACATACCACACCATATTTGAAGCAACATTTGATATTATGCTATTCCAGATATGATTTACTAAAATTCGGCATCACGCAGAATGTAGCAATTTCCGCGTTTCCTATACCTTAAAATTTATCAATAATTTGGCTTTCCTTGATTTTTTTTTCAAAACAAATAATTCATTTAAGACCATCATTGACACATCCTAAGAAATAGGATGAATAAATGTAGAAGAAACATAGGGGATAGGAAGTGAATGATGGGAACGAAGAAATGAAAGAAGAGAAAGATTTGTTATAAATGTCTGATAAATAGGCATATTTTAATACACTCCTACCTATTTTAATACCCTGAAAACTATTGCTGGTCATTTCAGTTACTTTCTCTGAGTTTTGCACTGTATGGGGCGACCCCCATTACTTGACACCCGATGGATTAAGGTACGACTTCCAAGGTGCATGTACGTACACGTTGATGGAATCAGACCTTAAGGCCGGTGATGACCTCACTAGCTTCCATGTGTACGCAGATAACTACAGAGAGGACGAAATTGACGAATGGTCCTACGTCAAGGACCTATACGTAGAATTTAACAACATGGTATGTATGAGGGTAGAATTTAACTACTGTATATATAGATAATTATATCAGCATAAATGTAACTATCTATAGAGGTCTACATGATAGATTGGTTAGTTACACGCGCTCATTCCATGTATTACAATTGTACTCTTGGTTGGAGCGGCGTTTATTATAATTATTTTTATAATTATTATTATTATTATTATTATTATTATTTGTTATTATTATTATTTGTTATTATTATTATTATTTATTATTATTATTATTAATTTTAACGTCATTATTATTATTATTATTATTATTATTATTATTATTATTATTATTATTTTCGTCAACATCACCATCATCAACATTCGTAGTATTACGAATGAGTATTAATATTAACACGCATTGAGTGTGTCTGTATATGGGCTTATATTTCTATATCACAAGAAATTACAGGAGGGAGTAATCAGAATGGTTATGTTTTAATAGACAGGGGAATAAGTTTAGACCATTCTCCAATGGAAGGGCTTCGGGAGTGGCCCCTAACATGTTGCGCCGGGTCTATGCGAGTTAAACGCAGACGCAATGGTTTGAGTCGGGGGGGGGGGGCAGTCCTGTTGTAGCATATTAAACATGTTTCACATTTCTGTTTCTCACGACGGCTTAAGACTCTCCTCCGACAATGAATTGCGTCAGGTTGCGTCGTACGACGCTGAGTTGGCCTTAACATTCAATATGTTTCTTCGTGGATATCAGGTGGAATTGATTACTCAAAGTGCTTGCTAACTTTGTAATATCACTACAGTTTCCGCATACTTCTTCATATATTTTGAGCTAGATTCAAAAGGTTGATTTTATGCAAGTTTTATCCATAACCAACCAAGCACAACTACGCCACAGGCACATTCCAGAAGTCATATTCAAAACAAAAGACTTAAAAATAAGTATACAATATACGTTGTAAAAGAGTGTAAGAGAACCGTACAAGGGAGCCACTGAAGCAAAGAACCTCAACCAAAAGTGCTTATAAAGTTCGTTATTGAGCCCTTGACGACCGGACGTCGTCTGTTGATTGTGGGTGGCTGTCTGAACAGATCGTCATTAAAACGATCGCGCAAACCCCGTTGCGCACGCATCGTCGCGTTGCCTTCTCCGTGGAATCGCGGCAGGTGCATTGAATTCCGGCTTTAGACAGTATACTTAATTTTTGTTTTCTTTTTATTGTTTTCTCTTTTTGCTCAAGTTAAATACATCCTCCCAAAGGAAATAACGAAACACAGGGCAATTAAACATCATCACATTGAATTTTATTTCATTTACCGTATCTGAATTTTTATTAACAGTTATGTTTTTTTCTAAGTAGTAATTAAAAATAATGAGTTTCTTAAAACTGAAAGCGTATGGCATCAGATTGTTTAATCTGCAGTCAATAATAAGTAGTTTTGCTAAAATGAAACTAAGATTTAACAAAAGATTCCACTTCTACCCAGTACTGGAATACAAAGCTTGGCCAATGTGCTGTCATGGAAAAATCCTCATTCCCACAGTTCAAAAGGAACTCGGAGGATCTCGGAGGGGCCACGAGCCCTTCCTACACTACCCTACATAGCCTAGACATTACTTTCTAGAAGACACCTAAAAATAATAAAATTAACACAGGGTAATTGCCGATATATCTTAAAGCCGGGATTGAACAAAAGATTTGCACTTTCTGTTTGAACACAGAAACTATGCATAGGCCTAGTTCAATTCAATAATATGTGACTGAGTAGACTCTTCATCAATTTTTAAAATCAGTCAAAAACTGTTGAACTTGACCACGTTCATAAAATATATCTCAGTGTTTCCGAATAATCGTACAAAAAAAATCGTTCCTCTGTATAATATACATCATTACGGTACTATATTAATTTGTATGTTGCTAATTGACTTTTAACTTCTGTGAAAACAATGATGATTATAGAAGCAATTTCAAATGTGTAATGTAATGGGGCACACATACCCTCGTATGACGTCACGCACGCGCGCACCTATACATACTGTGTGTGTGGCCGACTTAAAAGATTGCTCAATTTGAATGAGTGTCCAAGATAATTTGATGAGATACTCAAGTTTGTAGCACTTGAGAGGTGGACCAATAACGTGTGTGGTGCAGTATCAAAATTTAAAAACAAGTTTGCTGTAGTACGTAAATACCTTATTAGTACACACTGTAGTGTTCGTCTGTGAATTGTTAGTAATGGCAAAATCAAACAAAGCGAACAATCGACCTAGCGCCTTTCCTGGGGTGCCACAACTTGAAGGAATTCTTAACAAACTGAAATAATATTTCACACAAAAGGACAGAAGCGAAACGAAAGTAAAGAATAAAGTTGTAGTTGTGTCACTCAGCGCCCCATCGGCTTCACGGAGTGTGTTAAATAGGCCTATGGAGATTGTTTGTTTGATTGATTGAACGATCGATTGAGATTGATTGCCATCAAAATTCAAGTCCCTGGAATCTATTGAAATGCCGTGATTACGTTATTTTAGCCAGCAAGCAAACCGAAGCAGATAGCTTATAATACTACTGTACTTGGCTTAGATTTTAATTTACTATAATATGTTGTCATCATCATCATTATCATAATCTTTATCATATACATACCATATTGTATAATGTTTAATTATCATGAACACCAGCAGGATCGTCGTCGTAATCATCATTATTATCATCATCGGCATCGTCATTGTTAACATACATCTTCATCATCATCGTCGTCGTCATTATCTTGGTCATCATTAGTTAATATTATCATCGTCATCATTATTATCAATATAATTATCAAATTTATAAGTAGTTTATATAAAATATTGTTATCTGAAATTACAGGTTGTTGAGCTGCGACAGGGAAGTGATGTTTATGTTGATGGGATCCTAGTAAACTTACCGGTACTTGAGGGCGATCTTTACATAGCAAGATATGGATATTACACGGTAAGTTCGTCTGAATGACAGAGATAAAAGAACTACTCCAAAAAAAAACTTCATAATATTAAATTATTATTAATCTTGCCTGAGACCTCTTTTATGTTGAATTGTTTTCAGATTTTGTCGACTCGCTTTGGTCTGAGAATCGGCTGGACAGGTGAGCACGTGGCTGAGATACAGATATCGTCACTTTACTTTGATAAAGTTCGAGGTCTGTGTGGTAACGTTGATGGCAATATAACCAACGATTTCCAAACACCAACCGGTTCATTGGTAAGATTTATTGATAACGTATAGCAGCTTATAGAATTGCTGTAATGCATGTCGATAGTTTTTTTTAATATTCTATATTGACTTTGATTAAAACTGTGGTTAAAATCAATATGTGAATTTTAAAATATGTGATTCTTAAATGTCATTCCTATTGCCAATGTGATGCACATGTCCTTTTCGACAAGGATGCTGTAATGATAATAATAATGTAATAATAATATCAATAATGTTAAAAATAATAATATCAATAATGTTAAAAATAATATCAATAATATGGATTGATGAGGATGTTCCTGATGGTGGTGATGACGATGATGATTTTGATGATGATGGTGATAATGACAGTGGTGATGGTGATGGACATTGACATGATTATGATCAATGACAACGACGACGGTGATCCTGATGGCGAGGTTAATAAGATTACGATGATGATGATGATGGTGGTGGGGTGGTGGTGGTTGTGGTAATGACGATAATGGTCTATGACGATGAGGATGACGATGAATTCGACGGTGATTGTGATGGCGAGGGTGATAAGATGATGATGATAATGACAATGAAATTGTAATGACAATTACATTGAAAATAATAATATTAACAAATAATAATAACAAAAATAATAATGACAATAATGATTATGATAATTATATTATTTATTATTCGTTCAATACTCTCCTATAATTCTAATAAAAACGTTAATATTTTAGTAAAGTTATATTTTATGTTCATACTAACCAGGCACCAAATTCAACTATATTTGGTGATAGCTGGGTTCTCGGATCCTCTTGTTCAAAAGAAACGCCGCTCTATGATACCTGTGAGACGATTGAACTTCAAAATGCTGCCGTTGATGTCTGCTCTACATATTTAAATAATACAGGTAACTTCAAATATTAATGAATTTGCATAGCACCAACAGTTGGCACACATTGGCTTAAACTTTTCGAATAAGGGTAGCCAAAGTATTTATTACCATCAATATTCTTTAGCTTCAAAAAATGTTAAGGCCTATTTATAATTACATCACTAAAAATTAGAAATTTGTTATTATCGACATAGTGTCTGTTATTAATATCGTTATTAACATCATTATTAAATTGTTATTCGTCATTGTCGTCGCCATCGTCACCATCGCCGTCATCGTCACCATCACCAATCAATCAATCAATCGCTGGTCTTTGTGTTGCGCCAAATTCCAAAAATTTCTGTTCAGTGGCCATTTGATGACATATATTAGCAAGAATTTTGAATGCCTCAAATAGTTCATTAATCAAAAAATGCATTGTCATTATTTTTATTTTTTATAATTTATCATCATATATTATTATTATTATTAATAATACTCTTATATTATAGTGACCATCCTCGAAATTAATTTTGAAGTTATAATTTCTATCTTTTTTCATGTAATAATTCTATTTGTTAATGTTTTCCTGCGTCGACTAAAGAACTAGACCCATTTAGGCCAAATTACTTCAATTAAGAAATTGAAATATAATATTTAAATTATTACTGGTTTTCAATATTATCCTTCTATTCTCTCATTACAGAAATTTTCGGAAGCTGTCACCAAAATATCTCACTTGATCTGTACTATACTGCTTGTATCCTCGACGCATGCGCGACAAATATTGATATGGATGTTCTTTGCGACACAATCCGGCAATATGCATTACGCTGTGACATCAGAACGTGGCGTGAAGATCTTGATGTTTGTGGTAAGCATTAACATATCGGTTTTTACCAGAAAGCACAGTACAGTATGTTAAGTACTATCATTAATCTGAGTAACACACATCATATTAAAAAAATAATAATAACCAAAGCTGACAATCAAATAGATTATGCTATGATCTGTTGATTTATTTTATACATTCTGTATCATAAATACAAAAAGGAAAATTACTACAAAATAATTAATAGAAATTTAAAATAAATCAATCAAAACGAAGTGAGATAATCAGAAAAAATGTCTTAAAATTAGCAAACACCTGTGTAAAAGGGAACACTGGATTGCATTGGACTCCCTGATTAAAAATAATTTACTTTAACTTTTACAATTGTGTTATGCACACTATTTATAATGTAGTAAATTACTACGATACTATTTTACTAATAATTCGAACTTGTTTTATTTAGTTGTAAATTGTTCTGCAAACGCGCACTTCGATTCGTGTGCATCTGCCTGCCAGCCGTCATGTGCAAATTTCAGTTCCGATGTATGCACAGAGTTTCCAACTAGTGACTGCGTCGAGGGTTGTGTCTGCAATGAAGGATTTGTATCTCAGAATGACACATGCGTAGAACCCTCGGAATGTGGCTGTACTTGGAATGGTCGATATTATGAGGTGAGATTCAATTCATGTTTCTTTATATGTATTTTTTTTATTATGTTTAATTAGTACTATTATTATAGTACAGTTATTGATTTTATTGTTTTCTGTAAATTTGTGTTTTGATTTGAGCGATTGTTCGCAATAAGTTTTCATGAGGACAAATAAGCTTTAAATCTGAAAATACTTGTAGTTTTCTTTTTCCTTATTTTTATCATAATTTACGGTACATATTTAACGAAGTGCTTCACATTTTCACTACTTGTTGAATTTGTAGATAACAAGCACGTAAAATCTACATACTTTCTATTGGCATTGTTTTTTTATGTTAGAATTGACCCTATAATACTACTCAAATATTAAGAGCCAAATTTCAGACACGTTACTTTAAATTGTACGTTTTACTGTTTACACCAAAGATCGGTGAATCTGTGCTAAATAATGACTGCACTGACAACTGCACTTGTACGCCTTCTGGAGAGACCAAATGCACTGACTTCAACTGCCCTTCCTTGTTTGTATGTGGTGTCATGGATGGTCAAATACAGTGTTACGAGGATACTTCAACAGGTCTGTACACATTATTCAGCGCCGCGTGCTGTAACTAAATGACTACAAACTATTATGTTCCTGCTGCTGCTAATGCTGTTACTACTACTGCTACCGTTACTACCGATACTGCCACTACTACTACTACTTATGCTACGTCTACAGCTTGCTAATGCTACTGCTACTGATTATGTTGCTGTACTACACTATTATTATTATTATTATTATTATTATTATTATTATTATTATTACCATACGACGACTCTTAAACAATATTTATAATTTTTTTTCATTAAACTAAAGGTGGTCCAACTTCAAATGCACCGGTTACAACGGCTGTTCAAGAAACTACTTTGATGCCAAACCTCACATACACCCTGGATGTTAGTCAGCTTTCGAGTAGCGCTATAACGATCACATGGACGACAAGTGTTGCAGTAAACAGTGTCACGGCACGATTCCGCGCCGAGGACGACGAGCCTTGGCATGAGGACACGACCACAATACCAGGTTCACGTACAATGTATCAATTAAGCGGTATAGAGCCCGGAAGTACGTACGTGATGCAGTTGATCTTTAGCTACGGTGCTGGGTTGACCACATTTAGTAACGAGCTTGCTGCAACATCCTGCCAACGTGGATTCCAGGGTGCAGATGAATGTATTGGTAAGTTTACTAAAGTCAAATAAGAATGTTTATATATAAATCGAAAGAAACACGATTATTATAATGTAGGCCAATATATATATATATATAATGGTTTGCAGGAATTTATAAAAGGCATTTTACAATACCTACCTAAACAGCTACCGTATTTAACTCACTGATCTCTACTATACAAGGATTTGCTGATGAGTAATCCAGCTAATATTTAGTTTTCGCCGCATGATGTTAACCTTAACTTGAACGTTAGTACGCAACATACAACGTGATAGCTGCGCAAATTTTGCAAACAAATCGAAATACGCATGCGCAAACCTGTAACTAACGTACATCGAGCACGTAAAATCCTAAAATTAAGGTACTTGCAACGCAAGATGAATAAATTATGGTGTCATCTGTTAACGTTAAGGTTAACATCGTGCGGCAAAAACTACTTATTATATTGTAGAGATCAGTGATTTAACCCCACCATTGCTGCCAGGTACTTACTGCGCCAGTTTGATTCTGTGGGGAAGGCACGTCACGATGCGCGCGCAACAGATCGTTTTTAATGCCACCGACAACAATCAGCAGACGGCGTCTAACGCCCACAAGGAGCGGAGTTGGATTGGTTGTACGACGCAGTGAGTGCCCGGCTTAATTTCTACATGAAGTCTTTAGAAAGAATGCATGAATTTTAGTGGTTCCCGCTTGATCTGTGCCAAAACCACCGACATCACACTTTGATTTTACAGATTATCAAGAAATTGGTGCTTACGATGTCATCTTAAAGAATGCAACCAGTGACACTCTGATGTTGAGCTGGGAAATAGATGGTACCCTTCAGGAAACATTGGTCTGGGTCATGGTGCAGTATCGATCCCGAATTGAGTCTGCTCAGTGGCAGAATAGTACAACTCTGGAAACTGACGTCACTAGTTATAGAGTCGAAGGACTTTCACCCGGTCAACTATACGAGTTACGAGTGCTAGTATTAATAGATATCTCCTCACCAGCTTCCAGAAGGAAACGAGCGATTGAATCTGGAATTGGAGAAAGCTTCACCGTCACCTATGCTACGTGCCCTAATAACTTCCAGGGAGAAAATTGTGAAGAAGGTTAGTCTCAATATCTTAGGCCTATTGTGATTTTTGTTTCAAGGTAATTAGTTTCAATATGTTATCGTTATTTGTGCCAAGATAACACGATATGTTAGATATATTTCTGTGTGGCAATTGTATTTATTATTTATTGTAAGTTTCAATTATATCATTGCAGTTTACAACTAAATTGCCAATTTCTTTTTTTTTTTCATTAGTAAAAAAGCTGAAAGTACTCAATATTAGACGCCATTATACGTATAATACTCATTATTCCTAATGGCAACTCGTGTTTTACCGTTTTACCACAATAAGTGTCAAAAGATTTTTAAAGAAAAAAATATATTTAAAAAAGATAAATTGTGATTCACAATATTAGACCTATATATAGGCCTATATTGTTTAAAGTGTATTGTATTCACGTTATAGCTTGAATATAACATGTGCATATTCATTTTTGTCTACTCCTGGGCTATTCAAATGTATTTATATTTAATATATTTTTTCGATAATAAAATAATTGAAACGTAGTCAGTTGACTTAGACAAAATGGGGTTTTTTCGTTGATATCATTAAAAAGAAATGATAATTTTTCGATTAATAAAATTAATATGAATGATATATTCATTCATTCATTGGTTGGTTGGTTGGTTGGTTGATTTTGCTGATTTGGTTGATTTTGCTGATTTGGTTGATTATATTGATTTGGTTAATTTGGTAGATTTGTTTGATTTGAATTTATGGATTTATTGCTTAATTGATAACATTAAAATGTGATAATTCGAATGTCTCTCGTTATATTCCCACGGAAGCCCATATATTCTGTGCTCTTTTGTTTACTGAAATTTATTGGACAGCACTGAATATTTCTATGTTCTTATACACATTTATTTGGGGTTTTTTTGTCATTCTGGTCGTCACAGAAATACCGCGAACAACACGATGAATCGATATGTTATATTTCTAAAAGTCAGTGGATTGTTTATATCCAACACCCAAGTTAGGTCACGTGACGCCTATGGGCTTATTCCGACTGGTTCATTTCGTTGAGTACGAATTTTCGTTGAGTATTATTTTCATTCGACTGGTTCGTAAAATAGAGATCGTCGTTGACGACGAAAATTAACGTAACCAGAATGCGTTAATCAGCATTAAGTTATGCACATGACCCAAAAAATATGGCCGATTGGTCAGTTTAGCAACAACATTTGTGTTAATATAATTTATATTAAATTTCAGAAAATAAAAATTATAATATTTACCCACATTAGAGTCAAAAAATAATTTTAGGCTAACAGAATTCAAAAACTGGATGAAAACATTTTTGACGAAAAACCCATATTGCCACAATCCGAAGCAGCCTTGTTTACGCAGTGTGTATCGCGGTAACTATGCAGCCATTTTGCTTTGTCAAGTACTTACCAGTTTTCTTTTCGTCTGGTCGTCTTCGTTAAGTAGGATTTTACCACTGTGCATGTGATCGTGGTTTAACGAAGAACAACCAATTGAATACGGCCATTGACTTTTTGATGTTAAATAGTGGTTTACTGATACGTTATTATGAGATTTGATTATATTTTCCCCCATGTTTCCAAAATAGTTATTATGTGGAATTTCCTAACATATTTAATGAAATAATTCTCCGTGAGAATTACTTTTTATTACATTACGATTGAAAATAATACATTTGATACTTTTTTTCTTTTAGTTTATTTACTTTCTTATATCTTTAATCGTGTCTCTGTTTTTTTAATTTGTATACTTTCACTATTTTCACAATGTCGTATGTAAATACGTGCCATCGATAATGGCCTTATCGTACCGTAATGATTGTTAATGAATGGTATGAACTGTCTTCTGATATGTTTGAACTCTGTAGTCTAATATAATCTAACTCTAACAGTAAAATCCTCACCAATACTAATTTCTTTCTCTTTCGTTTTCTGTTGTAGATGCTGCTTCAGTACTTGTATTTTTTTTTCTTGTCATGCTTTTATTAATATGGTTTCTTTCTGTTTACAATAGCTGAATATCACAACTATTGTATTAGTCGACATTGTCCCTAATTTTAACTTATGGGCTCTTTCGATATGCACGTTTTACTCTATTCCTAGGACTTATTTCACATAAGCGTGCACTAAATTTTCACAATTGTTCCAATTTTCTCCTCTTTAAATCCGTAGATTTGTTCTTCTAGACGATCAAGTTTCTATGTTCATATACACTTTAATTTGTTAATTTGTTATTCTAGGCAAAACAACTGTCACGGTAGTGCCTCCAACAACACAAGGAATCGGTATGTTGTAATTCTGAAAGTACACCATTGAGCGTAACTTACCACAATCAATTGTTTTCAATATTCTATCAGAGATTGATTTTTTAATGTCCGATTCTCACGGAAGCCTTTTTGAGTTTACAATAATTCATTGGACAGTTTGTATGTTTCTACAGTATGCACTTTAATTTGTTAATTTGTCATTCTAGGCGAAACAACAGTCACGGGAATGCCATCAACATCAGCAACACAAGAAATCGGTATGTTGTAATTCTAAAAGTACATCAGCGTTTTTCCTGTTGTTATTTATGGGCTCTTTAGATATGTACGGTTTCCTCTATCCCTAGGACTTCTTTTACATGAGTTTGCACTAATGTTTCACAATCTTCCCAATTTCCTCCTCTATTTTCCTTAGACCTTTATATTTCCAGACTATCGAGTTGCTGTGTCTCTATAAACTTTAATTTGTCAATTTGTCATTCTAGGCGAAACAACAGTCACGATAGTGTCTCCAACAACACGAGAAATCGGTATGTTGTAATTCTGAAAGTACACCATTTAGCGTAACTTACCAGGAGAATCAATCGTTTTTCAATGTTCTAATACACTTTTAATTTGTTATTTTTTCCATTGTAGACGTAACAACAATCACGGCGGTGCCGCCAAGAACACGAGAAATCGGTACGTTGTAATACCGAAATCCATTATTGTTATATTCTGTCAGACCATCAGACATTGACTTTTTGATGTTAAATAGTGGTTTACTGATACATTATTATGATATTTGATTATATTTTCCCCCATGTTTCCAAAACAGTGCCATCGATAATGACCTTATCGTACCATAGTTTACAGATTGTTCATGAATGGTATAAGGTGTCTTCTGATATTACTAACTCTAGCAGTAAAATCCTCACCAATACTAATTTCTTGTTTCTCTCTTTCTATTTCGTTTTCTGTTGTAGATGCTGCTAATTGTATTTTCTTTTCCTCTTGTCTTGCTTTTATGAATATGGTTTCTTTCTGTTTATAATAGCTGAATATCACATTGTATTGGTTGACATTTTCCCTGTTTTAACCAATGGGTTCTTTCGATATGTACGTTTTGCTCTATTCCCAGAACTTCTTTCACAAAAGCTTGCACTAAATTTTCACAATTGTTCCAATTTTCTCCTTTATTTTTTTTAAATCCATAGATTTGTTCTTCAAGACTACCAAGTTTCTATGTTCATATACACTTATTTTGTTAATTTATCATTCTAGGCGAAACAACAGTCACGGGAGTGCCTCCAACAACACGAGAAATCGGTATGTTTTAATTCCGAAAGTACACCAGCGTTACCAGAAACCATTATTATTAATATTCTATCAGACATTGATGTTTTGATAGTGGTAAACTGAATGGCTCTGGTTCTATTCTCACGGTAGCCCATAAAGATATTCTTTGCCTTTTCAGTTTACAGCAATTTAAGGCACAGTTTATGTTCCTATACTCTTTAATTTGTTATTTTGTCATTCTAGACGTAACAACAGTCACGGTGATGCCGCCAACAACACAAGATATTGGTAAGTTATAGTTCTAATCCTGTCAGAGTCAGGACTTGTAGATAGCTAAATCTGAATGCATATCTTCTGATCTTCTGACTTATTGTGTTATTCTTGGTGCATTTTACACCAAAACACTCATGTTCTCCTCTTCATTCATCAGCAACCTAATATTGTTACTGTTGCTGCTGATGTAATTAATACTTGGCCTACTACTGCTGCTACCACTGCTGCTGCTGCTGCTCCTACTCAGTGGCGTCGCCTGCGGGGGGTCAGCAGAAGCTTAAGCCCCCATTGGACAGAGCTCGTCGGGCAATTGAACTAAAACATATATATATACTGTCTCTTATACACATCTAGATGTGTATAAGAGACAGCATTGTATATTTACAATATTTGACATATAAAGTAAGATACAGAATCATTCATATAATCAGAACTAAAGGGGCTTTATAGCAAATTTATAGCATAATTCTCATTCACTAATTCACTCCTGTACATCCTATATAATCTATATTATAATTTAGCTTATTTCAAAGCCACTATCACAATAGAATAAAATCAAACCGTGTGTCATGAAAACGTCGGTGATTCTAAAACCAAATTTAGTAATAATTATAATAAAATAATAACAATAATAATAATAATAAATTAAATATAATAATTATTACAATAACATTAATAATATAATTATAATTTAATAACAATAAATAATGTATTAGTATATAGTAAATGATTTTCAACCTAATGTAGTGTATTTTACTGTCTTGTAATTTGAATTTTTTAATGCTTTGATATTTTAAATGTTTTATATGTAATTTATCTCGATCTTGTGGAAGAACGATTATTTTAATCGAACAAGTTTATTTGTAATTTTTGTGCTTTTATTTTCGATATGAAATAAAGTTTATATATATATATATATATAATTATCATTTAAAAAAAACATTGAAGTAACACGACTATATAATGCATACAGTATTGGTTTTACTAAAATATAAGTATTTTCAAACAACGAAATTATGAACACTATCTAAATCAATCTGTGTTAAGCTTGTTCACACTATTAATTTTTATGACAAATATGTGATACGCCCATTGGTGTGATATGACATCATCATGCACATCACATAAACTTGTCACATAAAATTTTATAGTGTGGACAGAACATAGGTTCAATTTAGTACTTTAATATGTACCAGCATGCTTGATATTGAATGTCCATAGTGATTGTACACACGTGATGTCAATCTTTCCCTGTCTTACAGATTACCGGCAAACTGGTGCTTACGATGTCATATTATTAGATGCAACCAGCAACACACTGATGTTGAGCTGGGAAATAGATGGTACCCTTCAGGAATCATTGGTCTGGATCATGGTGCAGTATCGATCCCAAAATGATGAGTGGCAGAATGGTACAGTGTTGGAAACTAACGCTAATAGTTATATAGTCGAAGGACTTTCACCCGGTGAACTATACGAGTTACGAGTGCTAGTATTAATAGATATCACAATATCAGCTTCCAGGAGGAAACGAGCGATTGAATCTGGATTAGGAGAAAGTTTCACCGTCACCTATGCTACCTGCCCTGATAACTTCCAGGGACAGAATTGTGAACAAGGTTAGTCTCAATATCTTAGGCCTATTGTTATTTTTGATAAAAAGAAACAAAAAAAGTTGCAAATTTTTAGATAATGTCATGTATGCCTATAGGCTTAGAGATGTAGTTTTAAGTAAACTTCTCTCTCTTGTTCGACTCTTCTCCTTTACATACCTACTGTACAATACACTGGTGAGTGTATTTGTATGTTCTTATAAACTTTAATTCATTTTTCATTCTAGATTTAACAGTTACAGTAATGCTGCCAACAACACGAGAAAGTGGTAAGTTTTAATTCCAAAAGATCTCAATGTAGCGTTTAACCGGAATGATCCATTATCAGTGTTGAGTTACAAAGATCTGAATTGCTTTTTTTTTATTTATTTATTTTCAATTGAAGTTTTAAACCAAATAATTAACAGACATAATAGTTGCGTACATTCTACAAGGGTTGTGTAGTACGGTCTCCAAATTAGTATTTAATTGGACGGAGACACATTTTTTTATTTTATTCTATTTAAAACATATTCATATACGATACAATTTCAAGCCAAGATATAACAGGTCTGTTTATAAACATTGTTCTGTTTTAGACAATTACAGTATCTAATAACAAACGTACATGATGTAGGGCTATACATATTAAGTAGGACTATAAAGTATAATATGATAAACTTGGAGCCCTATGTATTGTGTAATTCATAGGCCTATAGTAGTATTTTGTATTCCGCTATTCCATTTAGAATATCCAATACGGATAGAGCGCCATGGTAGTGAGTCGAACAGCAAGTACGTAAATATTAAATTGATAGAATAACGGTCAGCTTGATTTATAATCAAATCTTTTTGTTTTATTTATATCTTTATAGAACTAACAGCTGTTCCGCCGACTGATGAACGTGAGTAAACACTGTGTGTTTCGGGAGTTGGTCAAAACAAAATACTTAAAACTTATCCAAAATTCCAATGTCATTAGTTTATAGTAGTTTTATTAGCTATTATGACTATAACGGGTTTTCAGAGGACATATAATTAATTTGAAAAATATTCTTGAAAGTAATAAATCATAATTCTTTGTCTTCTTCTCGATCTCCATAATATTTTCATTATAAAGTATTTTCCTAATTAATAAATGTCATTAATTTTATAGTAGTTTTATTAGCTATTGTGACTATAACGGGTTTTCAGAGGACATATATATTATTAATTGGAAAAATATTTTTGAAAGTAATATATCAGAATTCTTTGTCTTTTTCTCTATATCCATAATATTTTTATTATACAGTATTTTCCTAATTAATAATTGTAGTAAAAGGCCACTTGTGTATCTGTGTTAGTCTATATATGGAGTAATGAACATTAAAACCATTTAAACAAAAATAGATAATACTCGAAGAATACTTTTTTAATTGACGTAATGTATTTCAACACTTGTTTATGATGCCATGTTTTTCGCTTATTTCTAATTACTGTAGTTTCTCTTTCTCTCCTAGTTGAAACAGTCATTGTCATTGTCATTGTATGCGCTGTGTTGGTACTAATATTCATCTTACTGGTTATAATTGCTATATTTGTCTACAAAACCCATATTCGGTAAGTTATAGCAAGTCATATGCTTCCTACCTATTAATTAATTAGTGTACCACGGGTGTTCAGATAGAATTTTACGTGGAAAAACGAATGAAGGCTGCTGGTAGATTTCTAAAATATCGTACAGTACATTATAATCCGCACGCATACATGATGTTATAAAATCGTAACAAACATAGTTCATCAACAAAAGTTCCCTTATGAACCCCGTATGAAAAAAGGGCACTGTATTATTTATTACCTATTTGATTAGATGTGTATAAGAGACAGGGATCATGGTTAATATTATGCCCTCTGTATGTTCAGTCACAAAATACTATTTTGGAGAAAATTTTAATTTTCGCAGGCGACACAATCTCATAAAGAAACACAACCCAGACAGGCACTACATGTACCGCTCGCGGTCAGGTTCTCTTTCATTCTCTTCTACTGATTCGGAATCTACAAGTTCAAATGAAGTTATTTTGCACTTCGACAACGACGGAACGAACCACCAATACGACATCCCGATGGAAACATTTTATGACAACGTCAGTAGTAAAGAAAAGATGCCACCAAGAATGAAGCACGCCATCTACGATAATCCACATGTAGAACGATACAACGTAGCTTACCAAGATAATTAATTTAGCTTTTATATGTTTTTAGGTCAATTCTAATCGTTTGTCATCATTTTCTTTATTACTGTTTGGTTTAATTTGGCACATGTTTCGACTTTTTTAGGTTTTGTTGTTATTTACTTGTAATATATGTATTTTAAATATAGTTGAGAGATCCAAATAAGTTCCTAAGCAGTTGTGTGGCTCTGATACATCTTTCAGATAATTAATTGTCTTGTATGAAATATTATTCAGATATTATGAGCTTAGAATGGTAGGCCTATTTCATTTACGTTAATGGATCTGTTTATCTAGTAAGGTAATGTAGATGATGATGAAGGCCATGAAAAACGGTACTTGAAATAATTCCATAACACCGAATAATCTGTCACTGTTGAACCAATTTCTCGCGTCGTAACTAAGCCCCATAATTATGCAAATCTCAGTATTCATATGAAAAAGACAAATATTAATCAGAGTATTAATCGAAGAACCTCTGAAAGCACAATATTTTGATTGTAATATTGAAGTATCTATTAACTATGGTAAGTCTGAGACAATTTTATAACTATATAATATTTAAAAATTGAAAGGTACAAAATATATGCACATGATAAAGTTATTGAGAATAAAGATAATTTGTAGTTTGTAAACCTCTTATCATAGTTATGTTTCATTTCATGTTCTTACTAAAACATTTTATCAATATTATTGCACTATTTAAGCTGAAGTATAGTGTTATATAATAATAAGATGATAGGATAATCTAAATATTATTTTATTATAATACTAATTAATAACATTTGAAATGTATGTGTATTTAATCGTTATAATCATCATCATAACATACTAATTTGAGTAGGCCTAAGGACAGTGTTTGTGCCGACAGTCCAGACGCGTGCGCAGCTCTGGAAGAAATATATCGTAGCACCATTTTTTAAATGCCTTACCATTATTGGCATATTTTGAATTCTTATTTATGTCCATTTGAATATCGTAAAAATAATTTTACAATAACAAGAGTCTACAAAATATTGGACGAGGACTTGCCACGCTACAAAGCAACACATGTGAGTATTCATTATTCAAATTACATTAGTACAGTAAAGTGAAGGAAGCAGCAGAGTATTCAGTACGTAGTGGTAAGTGGAGCGTACTGTATACAAACAAACAAACAAACACAAACACAAACAAACAAACACAAACAAACACAAACAAACAAACAAACAAACGCAAACAAACAAACAAACAAACAAACGCAAACAAACAAACAAACGCGTATATGTATGTACGTAAATATAATCGAATAAATTATGTTATGAAATGAATATGTTAATCAATAAAATAAGTCAATACGTGACGAATAAGTAATGTCTACATCCATCACAACATTTTAACAATCCATTTTTATTTAAAAGGTAATTTGACTTTGATTTGCAAAGGTAAAATTATAGTTAAAGACGTAGCAGTATTCAATATACTGCTTTAAAATATTCTATTATATAGGATTATAGGGCACTACTTGCAGTATTTGGTCTTCACAGGATGATCATTTAAATGATATTCCTAAGCGGATCTCCTTTACCCTACCACCATTAACATAGCGCCTTTTAACTGGCAAAAAAGTGTACAAATGCTGGGTAAATAGTCAGTACTAAAGCTTTTTCCTTCTTTTGTCAGGGGCAGATTTAGAGGGGGACCGGGCCGGCCGGCCTTCCCCCCCCCCCGGTTCCCCCCCCCCCGTTTCCCACTCCGCTTTTTGGAAAGTTTAAAAAAAAAAAAGAAAAGAGAAAGAAAGACAAATAAATACTTTATCGCCCAAAACGCCTCAGATGTTATTTTTGGCGGGTGTTTAGAAAACAAAAAAATCGCAGGGGCATACCCCGGACCCCTAGGGCAATGTTGTCTCTATATGCCCCACTTGCGGTCGCCCTTTCGCCCCACCCTCTTTCAAATATCTATGGATCCGCCCCCGATTTAGGGTCAATTAGGGGTCAATGCGAGAATAATTTTATTTATTTTTTTCTTTATTCTTTATACTGGGAGAAACCTGTTCAGTAGCATATCTACTGTTCTCCCACAGGGCCCAGTACAAAAAGTCGACAATAACATTCACAATTCATAAAAACGAGCAACATACATAAACCAGAAAAAATACATGAACATCCATATCATAACATTTTTAAAATTGTTAAAATAAAAAACGATCAATACGAACACTTAAAAACATATTTAGAGAAATACAGCAGCAAAAATGGCTAGTTATTATTATTACCAGTATTACCATTATTATTATAATTACTATTATTATTAGAATTAAACGTTTTGCTGCCCGTGTAGGCAAACCTCCTCCTCCCAGATTCGGTTCAGGCTGATAATTATTGTTGGCTTTTAAGTCTCTCAAGGTAGGGGAGTAACAAGACAGAAGACTGTTCTTTCAGTCATTTAAACATATTATTTATTAGTTCCCTTCTTCTTCCTCCCCCTTCCTGTAAATACCTGTACCCTCCACCACAACCTCACAGCCTCGCGAAAGGCCGCCGTAGGCGGCTTCACGAGTTATAATAATGATAAATGATGATTACGATTACAATAGTAGTAATACAGTATAATATACATAATAATAATAATTATAATAATAATAATGATAGCAATAATAATAACTAAAAGTAATTGGTAATAATAATGTATGTATATTACTAGTAAATGCAATAACAGTACATGAATATTTTTATATTATATTTTATATATAAAATATTTTTATATATTAAATATTATGATGATAAATGACAATTACGGTGATAATAGTAATACAGTATAATAATAATTATAATAATGGTGATTATAATAATGTTCTTCAAATTATATATTAGTCGTTGGAACAAAAAATTACGACAAAGGCATGTAGACAATTGAACACTGTATTTATCTTCGAAAGAAATTTCCGGCCAGTCCTCTGGCCTTCATAAAAATAAATAAACCTATAGGCTTATAAATAGTTTTATACAATGTACAAATAAAGATATATATACATATAAATAGACATATAAAAATACTGTAATGGTATGGTGTTAAAAGCATATCAGATGTCAATTGTGAACTGAATAGAAATAGTTAGAATTAATTGTATGGGAAGTTGTAATCACTGAGAAAATTTATATCTTTATTGAGGCCTATGGTGTGGGTTTTGTTTTATTTTTAATTCATATATTCCAGCATTTACATTTTAAAGATTTCATAATTATTCACTATTATAGTGTAGTTTAGTCCGCTTCCCACCATATTATTCTACTATGTACGCTTAATTAAGAATTGTTTAATCTTTAACACCATTATCTCAATACTTGACCGCTTTGATCTCTGTCGGATTTCACTATGTATATAACAACATAAACTACTAGATAATTAGCCTATAATTCGTCTACATCACTATTGTATTTTTATATTGTACCGGTACAGTATACAACTTACAACAGCCAATCTTGTGCATTCAGTAAAGCTGATGAAGGCCAGAGGACTGGCCGAATATTTTTGGAAAATAGATACAGTGTTCAATAGTCTACATGCCTTGTCATAATTTTTTGTTTTAAAACCAAAAATCTTTATACTACCCACATATTACAATGGAAATTGCCTGATAAATATTATCACATTGAGTTAATTGAGTTTCTAATATATATAATATCATCGATCGTTAAAAGTAAGTCTAAGGGAAAATATAAAATTGGTAATTTAAAAAGCTAGAAGTCGTTTTGTCTGTAATGAGCTACCGATCGGCTCTCCGTGGAATAGCGCCACCACTATCAGAAATGTTAAACACTAAAAGCTGATTTAATTGGTATAACCCGAAATACATAGACGTATCTGTGGTGCAGCTAATATACGACCCGCTTTGTCAACAGGTTCATTCGAAGTGTACGTTTGAAATACTTTGACAATACGAATGTCGGATGCGCGTCGACATCATTTGATGAAGACCCTGATTGGCAGGTATCATTGGCAGATGACATAGTGTAGTTGCTCCTCATTGGCTTACGAATGATACACGAAATAGATAAATAAAGACTACCGCAGCAGAGGAGCTTTTTCTTCCTTCGCAAGTATTTTGGTTTTTTGTTGCATGTAATAAGGAGCAATGGATATTGATGAAACCGGTGGATCGCGGATGCCAGATCAAAGGCTTCGTGATCGCATCATTCAACGATATTCTGAGAAATTGTATCTTCTCGACAACAATAAAGGCAAGAAGCAAGTGAAGTCTGAAAGTGTATCGACCACCACCTTCACCGAGTCTGCAGATGATCAAGAGAGTCAGGACGCATGTAGCGTCAACCATGGGGCTATCAAGTGCAAATTTCTGTTCTTTTTCTTTTTCGGGGCAAGAGCGTCTCTCGAACCATACCTTGCTGTATATTTCAAACAACTCGGGTTAACACCGTCTGATATCGGAGCATTGTATTCTGTAAGGCCTCTATTATCCTTACTATTTTCACCAATTTTCGGTTGGGTAGCTGATCGTTACAATGCCAGTAGAGTAATTATATATCCGTCGCTTTTATCTTGGAGTATATTTGTGTTTGCAATGGCATTTATACCTCAGCCACACCATATACCTTGTACCGAAGCACGAAATACGTTTGAAGGCCTTTTTGGACAAAGTGCTCTGAATGTATGCTTACATGAATCGACCCTTGATAATTTCAATATATATTCACATGGAAATTATTATCCAATGAAGAAAAATATAGATAATGATTCTATAGAACACTCTCTCTCCAAGCGAGATTACATGAGGTATAATCATATGTCGAACAGTAATATCACCTTGGTGAACCTTGCAGATAATAATATAGACCTAAACATTACTAGTTTAAATGGCACGGTTTATCAAGAATATGGAACCACCCCAGGAACCCGTCCACAGGCTCAACCGTATTTAGAAGAGCCAGATTCTGTACTATGCACTTCAAGTACTACTTGGCTGTATAGTACCAGTGACTTGAATAGAATTTTCTTAATCGCAATGGGGTTGAATATAGTCGGTGAGGTTTTCCAAGCACCGGCTCCTGCTATCATGAACACGGCTATATTGAATACTCTTGGAGAGGAAAACCATCACCAGTTCGGTTATCAACGAGCCTTTGGAAGTGCGTCTGCTGCGTTTATGTAAGTACACACATTCCGCCCAATTTTATCATCCTGCTTCTAATAGTTATTATTTAACTGTTTTATTATAAAACTCTTACTAAAACAATCTTCAACTAATGTCAGAAATAGACGTATTTTTTAGAGACATCGTGTATCCACAAATATATTGCAAATGAAAAGCTTATTTTTAAACGAATATAGAGGAAGATTTTAACCATAAGTACAACGGCTACGGTATATTGACATAAGGAAACACCGTGAATGCGAGACGGAATTCGAGGAAAGTATCTGAGTTTATTTTTCCGTCAATTCACTTAGCCTTTGTACTCTCACTCTGAAGTAGGGTAACGCCGGAGATTGTGTGGCCAAGATGCTTCATGGGGCAGATGACCTTGTGGCCACTGTCGTAAGGTATCCTAGTATAGCTGTAAGATGCATTATTGATATGCCTTCTTTGTATTCGTTCTTGTAAAGTTATCCTATGATTTGCAGTAATTCATGTTATTGATATGATATATCGGTATTTGTTAATGTTTTTGTAAAGTTATCCTATGGCAGTAACTTTATTGATTGGACGTAACGTAACGATCGTAACGTCGTATTTCAGCAGTAAATAGGCCCTATGACGTATTTGTTATTGTTCTCGTAAGATTATTCTATAGCAGTACGGATGTATCAATCAGTATGACGTATTCGTTATCGTATCCGTAAATTGGCGAAAGTCATTTGATGTGCCAATTTAAACGGTTACATTCATTGCGAATTGCAGCTTTAGTCGCATCTTTTTAATCAAATCAATAGGCCTAAGTATTTAGGTACTGTATTTTGCACTATTATTTAATCATAACACCTACTGTAGGCCTATAGGCCTATTTTTGGCATAGGCCTACCTGTTATCTTTCTAAAATATTCTAGTAACACTCCCACCTTAATTGTGTTAAGTTGATAAACTACAGAAATTCTGCTCATTCTACTTTTATTGTTTTTAATGTTCTTTTCCGGACATGGCTATAGAATATTAGGAGTTTCGCCTAAGTAGACCCCGGAAAGGCCCTGCCTCTTGATCTGATCTGGTACCTTTTAGGACACTTAAACATACCCGACTAAATGTGCTCCGGACTCCCATTTGTGAGACGGTCAGAAAAAATACTTAAAGAATCATTAAAAAAAATAGACCCCAAAAAATAACGCCTCCTAATGGCCACCATATTGAAATCCAATATGGCCGCCAAAATATTTGATTTTAGCCAATATATTCATATCTACAGCACATGTCATTGCCAAATGAAGATCATTACCTATGTTTTTAATATCAGGGAGTGTCATGCAATCATCAGAAATTATGTCAGATGGCGCCGCCATATTGGATTTCAATATGGCCGCCAAATTAATGATATTTTTGTCAATATTCATATCTACCGTACTAGCACTGTCAATCAAAGACCGTTGCCCATGTTTTCGATATCGGGGACTACCATGCAACCATCAGAAATTATGTCAGAAAACCACCATATTAAATTTCAAAATGGCCGCCATCTTGAAATTTAATATGGCCACTAAATTAATTAATTTTAGCCTATGTATTCATATTTACAGCACATATCACTCCAACTGAAGTTCATTACCTATGTTTTCAATATCAGGGAGTGTCATGCAATCATCAAAATTTATGTCAGATGGCGCCGCCATATTGGATTCCAAGATGGCCGCCAAATTATTGCTATTTTTGTCAATATTCATATCTACAGCACCTAGCACTGTCAAAGACCGTTTCCCATGTTTTCGACATCAAGGACTATCATGCAGCCATCAGAAATTATGTCAGAATGCCACCATTGAATTTCAAGATTGCTGTCATACTAGATTTCTAGATGGCCGACAAATTAATTATCAATAATGTTGTAAATATCGTCATATCTACAACACCTAGCACTGTCAAAGATATTTACTCGTGTTTTCGATGTCCGGGAGTATCATGCAGATATCAGAGATTATGTCAGAAGACCGCCATATTGAATTTCAAGATGGCTACCATATTGGATATCAAGATGGCGGCCAAAATATTTTTTCCATATTTACATATGTAAAGTACCAGCACTGTGAATCAAGATTGTGTATATGTATATTAGGGATGTCATGCAGTCATCAAACATCTCATAATCATAGTAAAAGCTGCCATATGGCAGTAAAGTAGCACCATAAAAAAAAGTCCGACAACTGCTACGTTGGATTTAAGAATGATTGTCAATTAAGAAAGGTACATGAAAGAAATGGAAATTAAAAAAAATTAATAGAAAACAGTTAAGGGATAACAAATTGGTAATCAATCGAAAGTAATGAAAATAAAAATAATAAGTGAATAACTGCTTTGTATGGCATGAGAGCAAGTGCAGGAGAGATAAATGCAGATATTAAACATCGTTGTTTATATTAAAGCTAGTTTTAGCATAAATGAAATTATGTAAACATAAATAAAATATTCAAATTAATGGTGTGAAGACACTAATATCGAATAGACCTCATGTCTATGAGATGGCTAATTATCATTTTCAAATGATATATAAACATATGTAAATATTGAAAGGGAAAGAAACGGAAAAGAAAATTAAAGAGAGGAAAGAAATAACGAAAAGGAAAAAATGGAAAGGGAAATGAAATTTAAAAAAAATAGAAAATGAATATAACGGAGAAAGTGAAAAGAAATAAAAGAAACATCAAGAAAAATTAAGAAAAGTATATAGATAACTTTAGCATAAATGAAATTATGTAGACATAAGTTAAATATCACATTGAAGTAATGGTATGAAGGCAATAATATCGAATAGACTTCTAAATATCATTTTCAAATATGTATATATATATCTATATATATATATTATATATATATATATAATTAATTTTTGTGTGTAGCACTCTGTTTATATAATTAAATAATGGTGAAAACAGAGCTTGAATAAATGAAAACTGATGTGAGTATCGTATCGGGATTAGCCTATCAAATAAAAAAAAAAGTTCCTTATCAACTGTTTGAAAATGTGCTCCTGGCGGGAATTAAAATGTGATTTCTTGCTGTCAAAGTGAGTGTCATATATATTTACCCCTGGTATATCACAGATATAACCCAACCAGGACACTTCTTCAAAAAAATGATATACTGTTGCCAAAGAATACCCTAGAAGTCATACCTGTATTATAATGAAGTAACATATAGAATCAATGTTGCTGCGTAGCATTGTGGTATAAC